GTGAGGCAATTTCCAGAGAGTGGACATTCATCTTTTTTCCTGCAATTGCAGAGAGTTTTTGGCTGTTGTTGCTTAGCAACCAGAAGCTGTTTGTTGTGGGCTTTGATTATACTGCCCATGTTTCTTAGCTACTGGGGCGGAGGAGGGGGGGCCCAGAGGCTGTCTCTTATACACATCTAGATGTGTATAAGAGACAGTATATATATTTGTTTGAATTAACATGTACAAGGTTAGAAGTGAATGTCCTTTGGCACCTTATTATCACTTCATTGAAATTTAAAAATATGTTTGTTACATTTGTCTACTAAAGTTCTACTTTGCTCATTCTTGGTCCCTTCTTTTGTTTTTTCTTCTTTTTCTTTTTCTTTGGTTCAGCTTTCTTCTCTTGGAACTAAAGTATAAAGCTATATATTATTATATAAATATAAATACAACCATAAGTGCTATATACCGCTAATGCTAATACCCCTAGTGCTACATTTCCAACAATGCTATGGCTTGCTAAAAATATCCATTGTTCTTAAAATATTCAGCAGACAATGACAATTTATTTTGCTCCTTTTTAACATTTATAGAACACAGATATATTTATTTTATGTATTTTTCCTTAAATCAGCAGGGGAAAATTATATAGTAATTTAGATTACTTATTGTTTATTCCATTTCTGGTTTTTGGTCCTAATTTTGTATTGTTATTGTTTGAAAAAATAAAAATGAGATAAAATAAATTAAGATGAAACACCTACCTCAGGGGTTGTCTTCTTATAAGGGTTGTAATAGGAAGGATCCTTTGGTATAAATTCCATTTCTTGGGACATCTATAAAACATGTTTCTATTTTGTAAAAATACTGATAAAACAGACTTTCAACATACTGTACACATTAAACATTTTATTTTAGTTTCAAAATTATTATCAATTATTTATTGTATAAAATTATAATTATTATCTAATAATACATATTGCCATTTGGAAAAACAATCATCCATCACATTAACGCTGTAATATATCAATTTAATCAATAAAAAAAAATCAGAATATCTTTTATATTCAAATTTTCATGAATGTTGTGGAAATTATGGTTGGGATATATCAGAAAAAGACTTATATGCAATGTTGCAGTAAAGTTAAGAGCACTATTTTGTTGCAAATTAAAATACTTGTGGGTCGAAAAAAAAATGTTTTAAACACCTAACTAAACTGTAATATTTAGCACAGAGATCAATAAATTAAAAAATATTCTCACTAAATTAAAAAGCTGTTTGTGAACATCATCCAAAAAATCTGTTCTCTCTGCAAAATCCATCCCCCATCTCAGCTCATCCAGAAATTCTTTATTTTTGTCAAATATCTTGTGAGAAATGTCTGGTAAACGCAGTACAATATCACCAATAAATGCAACATTTTCAAGAACTACTGACACAACTATAAGAAAACATAAAATTAATTTAGCTATTAAATATTTTGAGAGCCTAAAGCTATGGAGTGATCAGCATTGACAAGTTGTTTTTCATGTTATTTATTTTGGTATACATACCATATCTATTTGAATATTGCCACTGCTTTGAATAAACACCTATATATAAATGGCCCCTTCAGAGCCTCATTTACAATAAACACCTCCCTCAAATAAATGCCCCAGGTGTTGAATTTTTAAAAAAATAAACACACCCCCCACCCCACCCAAATGACTGTAAACAAAAGTAATGTAAGCAACATCATTCTGAACACATTTTGTTATCTAGGCCAGTAAAATTACATTTTTTTTCTAAACTGATTAACAAATTAACAAAGCTTAAGAATATTAAATATACAGTATTAATTTTTTTAAAAACATTAAAAACATTAAAATTTTATATAGCATCAGTGCGTAACGATGGGACCGGGGGGGGGGGCCTGTGGCTTTCTGAATCTGGGGAAATCTTTGGGACCCAGTCGCTAATTCGAACGTGGGATTTTAGATGTGCTAATTTTTTTATGATGTTTGCATTGTTCTAAATGTATTTAAAGATAAATGATATAATATCAGTGGCAGATCCAGATATTTTAAATTATAATAAAGGGGCCAGGTTGGAGGGACTTTTACAGTTGGAGAATCTATACTACCTCATCCCCACCATAGTTTCGGCTGAGGTAAGAAAATGTATGATTATGGCACGTCTAGATGGCCGGAAATGCCACTCACAGACTTAAAATTGTGAATATAATTCTCTTCTTATCTCCATTTTAAAAATGTTTTGACCAATTTGGTGGGCCCCTCTTTTTAATCCACCTCTGGATATAATATGATGTATGCCCTACAGTCAATTTCAGAGACACATGTGTTATGTATCAACAAATTCCTTTTTTGGTCAGTGTGCTAGATCGAGTATAGGTGGGGCCCTTAGGGCATAGTATTCAGTGACATTGATACATACTGTTTCTTGTATCTTCATCTGATGGCAGTGGCATACCAGGTTCAAAATCACTTTGTGATATATGTTTCCTTGCTTCAGCAAACACCTGCAAGACAATATGACTCATTCAGGATACAGTGGTTACATTTGTAAGAGGCATGAATGTAGTCTCAAAGTTATTGATGAATGATGTAATAAAGTATTTAGTCTAGTGGAGTTGAATAGCTCAGTGGTTAAGATGCTTGCCTTATAATCCCAGGGGTCTGGGTTGAATTCCTGTGACAGTAGGACTTTTTGACACGACCAAAAAAAACTTCACTCGCCAAGCCCTCATAGAGAGACTTTGTCTTAAATAATCATTCCATCCTTTAATTGGTGAGTGTACTTGCTCCAGATTGTTAAAGGCGGCCTGCATGGGGAATATCCTCTGCGCAATAATTTCGCCAAGAA